GCACTCTGACCTTCCCAAGACTTCTCTCCTCCGAAGGAGTAGGGCCAAGAAGATCGTCGCGATTAGCCTTAACCTTCTTTACCTTAGCACACCTCAATAGTACTTCCAAACTGTCTGCACATCTTCATAAATGTCACTAGAGGCTGTGGGCTTTTAAAAAACAAGCGCTTCTCGATAAAAGCATCGGAGTATGCCTCGCTCCCTTGTCACATATCAACGGCTGTCTTGTTGCGGAATCGGCGCGGGGGCAGGTAAAGACGCAGTGCATCTATCAACATAGGACTGGGAATTGCCCTGAAATGTCTTACCGTCCTGAGTCTGCTCTTCTCCTTTTTCTTGAGGTTTGGTCTCAAGCGTCTCACCTTCCCTTCCAGCCTCTGCAAGATCTGCGATGAATTTGCTTTGTCCATCTTTCTGCGTTTCGCACCCTTCACTCACATTCCCTACGGGTGGCTCATCTGTTACGAGCTCGTCTTTTGGACTCCTAACTGAGTCCTCCTCCTCTAATAGATGCTGCTGTTGATGGGACAGGGAGCTTCCGTCGATCGACACATTGGCTGTCCCCGGAGCATTTTCCTTCACCATACTCTCCGCCTGGTCTGCTGAACGGGGATAAGTAAACAATGATTTTCGAGATGGAGGAAGGTATATGAATTCCCCCACAGATCTTCATGAAGTAGTTCTTCATACGTAAGTCTGCTTCAGAAGGTAAACGCGACCGAGGTTTTTGTTCCATGCGCACAAATTCATGCGTGGCTCAATGCCACACCCTGGGTTTAATTCGCGGTTTACTCCTCCACATTTTGTTGGAAAATGCTCGCCTTAGGTTTGTTGCCATGGCGACAAGAAACAAAAAATTGATATTAAGTGGTAGTTAGACCCGACGAAGGTTTTCCTCCTCATTATAAAATCCATTGTTACTTCACGTTTGTTGTCTAGTAGCTGTCTCAATAAACACCTCTGAATTCCTCAATTGACGAAGGTTCTCAACCGTCCTTTACAATGAAATCGCCATAACAGACAGAGAACATTCTTTTAAAATTAAGACAGCTTATTTCTTCGTATGCAAGCGAATATGTGAGCCTCAGATTCTTGTTGCAAAGAAAATAAATTCACAGTCACTGGCACAGCACTGAGATTTCGGATTTGCACAGAAAGCACCGCAGCATCGTATACCTCCACCTTGCCGTTCAGTTAGTTACTTGCTCCGCGAGGTTTTTTTAAAGCAAGCTCGCCACTTTGCTGCATTACACGGCACTTGGCTTTGCCGAATGAATGCAATTGACGGAAAAACACGATTGTGCTCGTGAAGGACACGAGAGAATCAGGGATTTTTCGGGACAGTGC